TTACTTACTTCTTCTTACTTCTCTTCTCTCTCTCTCTCTCTCTCTCTCTCTCTCTCTCTCTCTCTCTCTCTCTCTCTCTCTCTCTCTATTTTACATATTTAATTTAGTAAATTTAGAAAAAAAAAAAAACGATTAAATTATAGTTTAAAGGTAATCCAAATTGAATTGGTCTTCAGTGTAGAACGCTAATACAATTTTTCGGCACTTTGAAGAGAGTCCATTGTGTATACTTTAGATCGGATTGTTGTGCTCTGAGTAGCTTTCCTTCTATTTTTCTTTTTTTATACTGCGATTTTATCACAATTTTATTATCTGTCGATAAAATTATCTCACATCTACTAAGAAAGATAATGCGTAATTCGAGCAGGCATGATAACTTGTTATGCTTGCAAGATAGAAAACGTGTGAACAATCAAAATTTGATTAATTTAAGTGCTTTGGACATTTTGTTTGCGCCTAAATGTATATCTATCACTTGTGTATCGTGTTAAAATTAAAAAAAATTAGATTATATTCTAACACACAAGCATCGACAATATTTCAATTCGAAATCATGTACTCATGCGTGAGTATAACGCTATTTAAATGTTAAAGTAAGTCTTGCTTCGCGACAGACTTCCTGTATCGAGTGTACATTCTTCACACAGTCCGTGGTTGATAACGAACTGTGTTTTCAGAGATAAAATAGACTGGAAATAGAACAGAATACAATGCATATGTTGACGACTTAATTTCAGAAAAATATTTGTTGGAGTAATGTACCTATTTGCTGCAATCTTATTCTTTCTCTCTTTGTTTTCCCGTTCTTGTTTATACATCACATAAGGACGATTAAAATTGTTAACAGATAAAGCTTACAGCTTTCTGCTTGTGCGTCTTTCAAGTTTTTAAATTGTTATTATAATTTTATTTCAAATATACAAAACTTTGAACGAGATACTTTAAAAGATGCAATGTTCTATTTTAAAAAAAGTACTTGAAAAGAATCGTTGGACAAGCGATTACAAATTATTGCGTTATCGAGAGATTTGATGGAATGATATTTTTTTACGCTGGATTATTAATCCAATGTAAGTAGCATTTTTATACAGCTCGCATTGTAACTTATGTAACAACAGACTATAATATAATTTATTTTCATAGTCTGTTAACTTGATTAACATAAATTGGACGTTAAGAAAGATACAACGAACAGTTGTTTTAAACGTAATCTCTGTCAACAAAATCTATAAACTCGTTTACAAACTGTGTAATTTTGAAAATTTTGCTTCTAATCTTGATTTATAATAAAATTTTGTCAATTAAAACGATATTTCGTAATTGCTATTATTTGTTACGATACAATCGCCAAATTTCGCTCATTTTTATTTACATAAAAAATATATTTTTTGCATTGATTACGTTATTTGCTGTATCAAATATATTAATGATTTATATATTGTATAAATATTCTTCTATCGATTTTTTAACTTCCAAAGTTATCGCATAATTATTTTTTTTTCGTGCAATAAATAGTCGTCTTATTTTGCAATTTATTAATCTCAGAGCCGCGTTTGTAAAATTTGCACCCAGGGGCTTGTCATCTTCGAACGCCTCAATCTAGCCTCCCTCCCACAATGAGTAAACAGTAAATAATTAAGATTTTGAATATTAATTAAATTCTACCGAAACGCACGTAAGAACAAGATAATTACAAATGGAACATTTTTTTATGAATATATAGAAACTGCGGCGCCCCTGACACTTCGGCGCTCAGGGGCTCAAGCTCCAAAAGCCCATAGATAAACGTGCTACTGACTAATCTTATCTATTTTGCACCAATTATTTGTTAGTAGCAAAGAGTAATGCGTAGTTCGTTGAGCAAAGTACGTGTTTAAATGTGAATCAATAATTAGACATTCCTCCTTGGACGATTACCAAGTCAAGTCAACAACCGTCACGGATGAATACGATATAAATCGTACATTCATACATGTAATGTTTATCGGACTTACAATTCATAGCTGATTTGAAAACACTGACATTTATGTAACACTTCTTATTGTCTTATAAGTATACGACACTTCCTCGGAATAAATATTCCATGGAAAAGGTAATGAAAAATATCCATTGTGCGTTTGCACGATCAATAATTCAATCTACACTTTCTATGTTCTCTATGCAAACAATTCTTTATTGTACTTGCAATAAAAAATATATGCTATTTATATAAAAAATGTCTATAGATTAACTATACAATCGACTAATTAAAAATAAATTTTGAAGTTATCAAATGCGCGACGTATTGAAGATTTCGATGAAATTCTAAACTTTAATTAGCAAGCGTTATCGAATACAGTCACGCGCACGATTTGGAATAAATATATATTCATGAACAGTTCACAGATCGTTCGCTCCTTTGTTCTTTCTTTTAATGTCTCCGTCTTTTAGATATCTTTAAGACATGAGTGCTGTCTAGGTTTTTACTTTTCATCAACACGGATAAATAATGAGAAGAATAACAATTTGACGTTTTGACAAAATAATACGATAACGTAGCATGTCACGTATGATTAATATCACCTTTGCGCAAGCAAAGATATGTCAGGCTGAAAATTTTTAGCGGATATTTTATTAATAATATTGAATTCCGTTCAGTCTATCGTCGATTAAAAAAATCATTAGTGTTATATTTGATACGTTATTAAATCATGGAGAGCATACATATATGCTATAAAAATTATATATTTCAACCATTGTATTTATCTACGTTATACGGAATGTTAATTAATCAAGTTACAGGCGGCAGAATGCCAACAGTTTCCGTTTGGCCCTTAGTCAACGGGGAATCCGCTGATGATGCCGAATATTTGACTCCCACATAATTTTCACGACCTTGAGAGAAAACATTCATCAGAAGAATTTTCCGAAACTAGCAAGTTGAAAATTAAACATATTACTACATTTGTACTTAAACATTTTTTTATAAGAGTTATTTCTAGTTTGCGAAGAAAAAGTATAAAAGTTAGAAATCGGAAAATATGAGAAAATTTGCACGAAAGTATTAGTAAAATAATAAAGAAAGAATCGTGAATACTAAAAAATCGTGGATAAAAGTTTTTACAATTTGTTGAAGACAGGTTATTTGGTTATATGAAGAGAAAAGAATAATTTTCTTTGTTATCTCGTGGAATATCATCGTGTAATAACTATGAATCTTGTCTATTGATAGTTTGAATTCTACAATAAAAAATATTTTTTAAAACAATTAAAAATTGCGCATCAAGTTTTTTGATATTTGATATTCGTTCGATTTTCGCTTTTCTCTGTTTAGTAAAACCGACGTTTACTTTTGTTTTTTTTATCATCCATAGCATGTCCATATCTGATATATCTTATTAACAATAAAATAGCAAAAATATGTATTACAAAATATCACGATGTATTGAGAAATGTAAGTGAATATATTTGGGTCTGCGTAAATTTATGAGAAATCTAACTTGGCAAAGATTATGAAGAAACTGTTAGTGTGTTAACAAACAAAAGAAGTGGATCCGTATCCTATTTCTATGATGTAAATGTTTTTTTCTTACAATTAGTAGACTCAGTATAAAAAAAACTATGCCGGCTCTTTCCTCCTCGCTCGAGTGAATCGAGTCTGCACGAGATGCTTGTGCTCGCGGAGCACTCCAGCGAGTCTATTTTGAGAAAGTAGCGAGAAATATATACGATTATTTCAGTTACAATTTTTCTCCTCCAAACCTCAGAACGCAGGCGGACGTCTACACGAATGGCTGAGTACGCTACTTTTCGTCTATCGACAACCGCGTTCTCGATCAAGCAGGTTAAATGCGCGAAAAATGCATTCGTCAAATGTATTTATCGAGGTCGTCGCGACGAAACTATTTATCGAGATTATTCGAATTTATTATCGAAATTTCGTGGCGGTGATTGCGTCGTACGACTGTGAAAACGTGGCGAATACATTATTGTGCTTCGCTTCAGAAATGAGAATCGAAAACGCGCATTTCCTTGATATTTCATAATTTAATTTTATAAATAATATAATTTTCTTGTAAAAAGCTGCAAATCAAACTAAAAATTTATGTTTTCTTTTTTTTTTGTTAAATTATGTGAAAAATTATTGTAACAAGTGTGAGAAAATTATCGAGTGATACCATCGTATGTTCTTTTTTAAAGTGACATGTGCAAAGTGTATTTGTCTTCTTTTACTATTTGCATAATTAATTAGTAAAGTTGCTTTACGACAAAGTTTTCTTACTTGAGTTCATTATTGCTAGGTGGCTTACGAAATAACAGCGTGAAACTGCTCTTTGCTTCGCATCTGTTTCTATTTGCAACTTGCGTGTTGGGATTCTTTTCTAATCAATTATCGTCTTCATAACTTCGTCATCATGGATATACGAAGAATGTCGAATTGGAATGTTCTGAGCGTAGAGGCTGCGCTACAACAGCTCAATACCTTCGATGGAGATGATTCGGAAAAGATAAGACGTCCTAATACGGTGAGTAAATCCATTTTACAATATTAATTTGTCTCACAGTAAGTCAGCAAGAAGAAAAAGAATGAGTGTTGCGAACTTCTTACCGAAAATGCAAAAACGTTAAAATTACAGACAAATGTGCTGCAAATATGCCGTGTTTCCTATAAATTTACTTTACATTTATTTTAATAAGAATTTCCAACGTAATTATCCATAAATGTTTAAGACTTTCCCCATTCGACAAATACTCGAAACTGCAGATCGCCTTTATACGACGCATTTATTTACACTTATCTACACTAAAGAAAAGAGCATCGAGTTTCGATACGGTTCTTAAAATTGTGCGCATATTATCTTTGCATCTGCAAACGTGTGAAGGATTACTGTCAACTGATACAAAATGTTTTTTATATCTCGGATGACGAATTATTCACGAATGTTCGAATCACCGTCCGGCAAAAGTGATTCAGCCAAACCCAACGAAACGAATCTCGCGACGTCGACGTCTATCGACGGCGTTTGTTCGTTTCTATCTTTCCCACATAACATAACTGACTCTCACATCAATGCGCCGGGGACTGTCAATAGGTCTTCCCATTTTGGCCTGATGCCTGCCTGCCTGACTGACTGCTTGCTTTTATTTATAACTAATTAAAGTAGACTCAGTTGTAAGTGTCGACTCTTCTAAGACGGTCAAATGCGAATGTGGTCGCTAAAACGAGCGGATTTTCGGTTTTCCAATGAATTATCGATATATTTTTGCCAAAAATAGATAAACGCGTGTGAAACCTTTTAATTCATAACTGTGCCTCGCACAGTTTTCGCTTTGTTCTCTTTGTCTGTAAACTCACTCGAGCTCTAACAATGACTACTTGGACGCAATTAGCCGTGGAGCACGTCAGCGCAATAACGAAGGAAGATCTTAACGCGATACATCGAAAAAAGACGACGGTAACTTTAATTATATTAATCGATTATTATTATTATAATTATATTTTATTATATTATTATTATAAAAACATAATTTATAACGTGTATTAAGCATTTATGAATACTTTTAAAGAACAGTGATGACTTCCCTCTTTCCACACTTTCATGCTAAAATTATCTTCACTAAATTCTGCGTAATATTTCCACAATAAATAAATGTTTAACATCTCAAAAAATAAAAAATTATTTTTACCACATATCTTTATATTTTCAAAATGACATAAAACATTAATTATTTTATACAATTAAAGATTGTGATATGATATCTCTAATGCTTTTACAAATTTTTTTAAATAAAAGTATACAAAAAAATTTTTGACTGATGAAATTATTAATGTCTATTGCATAATACGTCTATTGTCTACATTCAAGTAGACGTCGCAATTTAGCAATCAATAATAAAAATCCAAATCTCTTTTTCAAATCAAGACTTATTGTTAGTTTTATTTTTAATAAATAAAGACAAAATAAATTGTTCGTTATGATATTTTGATTACAATTTTATAATTTATATTGCTTCTTCTATTGCGACTTGTTTAAAATTTCGATCTACATTTGCTTCATGAGAAAAACATACGTTCGAAGAATGCAGTATGAAACTTTGTATAAATAATAGAAGCAAGTGATTATTATTCTTTTCCTTACTGTTTTGGACGAGCATTTTGAATAAAAAGGATAAATTTTGCTTCGATGTAAAATTAATGTAAATCACTATAATTTCTGTCAAGCTAATTGTTAAATATTAAGAATAAAAGATCGATGTGATAAAATTATCAGTTCGATGTCTTAACTGGAAATAGCTTACAATTAGTTTGCTAAGTAATTCATTTCCTAGATTACTGACTTCATCGATTAACATAAGATTTGTATATTTGAGTTGAATTATATGATACACGCATAACCTGTTGCTGGTAGCTCATTAAGTCTATCACATTGAAATCATGCCAGTTATTACGCCGAAAGCACACGAAAAACATTAAGAAAGCTATTCCCGCAAGTAATTTATAATATGACTTGGCACTATGTCATATAATCTATACATACTTAAAAGTGGAATAAACAATATTATCGCACGATGATAATTATTTGATGCGTAATTAAACGCGTAGTAATCTGATCTTAATTTCTTTGAGATGACATTAGAATATCAGTATATTAGAAAATTATTTATTTTATATACAAGCGTTTTAGTTATTTTATAAAATTGTGTAAAAAATGTAGTAATTTATACTCTTGAACTGTTCATGAAAATTAATTACACGTAATTATTCGTCAAGTTGTATAAAGTATAAGAATATTTGTAATTAACAATTTAAAGCGTGTCTCACACAATACAATATCTACTTTTCTCTCTCTTTCTAGTTCTTCTCTCCTCTCTCCTCTCACTCACTAGTTGCATATATGTAGAAAAATATCAGAGAACTGATTGCAATGTAAAATATTATAATAATATAATAAAGTACACGAAAAGCCTACATAATTAGCATTAAATTATCACTTAACATAAAACATTTACATTAGCAGACAAAAAAAATTATATATTATAATACTGTACAAAAATTATATACACAAAAATTTGATAAAAATAAATCAATTAAAAATGCACCCAAGAAATTGCCAATGTGCTCTTTTCATTGGTGAATACACTTGAAATCTGAAGTTTGCATGTCACAGCAATCGCGGGCGTTTCAAGCTCGATTTTGTTAGAAAGTTTTATTAAAAATGCAAAACTTGCATCCGGGCATTGATGCAGACTACGGGGTTTAAAATAAAATAGGCAAGCCTTCCAAGTCGTATATTTAGGGCGACGCGCAAGCGCGATCCGATTAAAAGCGCCGAAGACTTGTAGTTTAAGCTTCCTTCCTAATTCTACCTCGTGTCGCGACTCAGACTGCGTACAATCGCAAATAAACGTAGAAATAGTTTCCACCGATCAAATTTTCATCTACGTTAACAAAGTGTACAAATATTGAAATTCGTGATACATATTCAATTTGTGAAAATTATGTCGAGATAAGTCGCAATATGATAGAGTGACGTTTAACTAAAGAACGAAAATGAAGGTGACCTCAGATTAAAATAGTAACAAACAGCGGAAAATTAAATAATTAAGCGTATCTGTTGCGCGAGAAAAAATAATCCGTATAAGTTCGTACGTGGGGGAAAATCCAACGGAAGGCAAAGCAAAACATTACATTTTTATTTTAATCTAACGTCACCAACGAAACAGCATCATGGATCTTGGTGGTGTGGATGTTTGGGGTCAAATTGCCCTGGAAACGTCTCAGATGTACGTTTCCGAGGGTGGTCCCGCCAAAAGTCGTACTGTAAGTTATTTTAATGCCTCATTTTTAATGTACGAATACTTCGATACAATCATTAATCTATTTTTCACGCGACAATTTATGCAATCAAGTCCGTTTACATCACATTGTAAATTCTACAGATTTCTCTTCCAATATCTCTGTAAACAGAGTAATAAATTTGCATATCTTGTATCAGAAGCTTGATTTTTCAATGCATATTCCGACAAAGATTTTATGCACAGAAAAATCAAAACCAACATCTAGAACTGAAGAATACAGCTCGATTTAATTAAAAAAGCATTATTTAAAAAGCACGATCGATAGATATTAATTAATGTTGCAAGTTTAATTTATTTCGCTCGTATTGCGCCAACGTATGAATGTTACGCGTTAAAAATATACGAAGAAAATATGCGCGATTGTAAAATTATATGATTTAATTCATGCAATCGGTTCATCGCTTCGCAATTCAATAAACGATCAATGATGTATAGTTAACTATCGGAAATTTCAAAAACGTAATTAAACGTATATTTTATTGACACTAATTTTATGCGTTGACTGTTATATTTTTTTCTACAGACAATAGAGAAGCTACCGGACAAAGTCCTTCTTAATGTTTTTTGCTATCTCTCGCATCGCGAAATATGCAGAGTTGCTCGCATTTGCAAACGTTGGCGGCAAATTGCATACGACACGCGTCTTTGGCAGCACGTGTCCTTACGACCAGAGATAAGCGGACTTCACGTGAGTTCTTTGGAAAATCTACTGCACTTAATCAGGTAATGCGTGTAATATGCAATCCTCGCACTTTTCAAGTGCTTCTCGATCGATTTATGCATTTTGAAGATAAAGAAAATTTTGTACATATAAATAAGATTAATTTCTCTTATATCAGTTTCAATTTAAAATTTATCGCACTAATCAAATTAATTTATCTAAAGAATTTGTTTACTTAAATTGGTACTCAAGTTGAGAAGATATTTATTTGAGGAAATATAACAGAAATAAAGTTTATTCTTATTTCAAATATAAAATGCTTTATAAAGCAATAATAATTTAATATTTACAGCGTACGCTTTGGACCTTCATTAAGATACATTGAATTACCAATCGAATTGATAACACATACGGTTCTTCACGAATTAGCCAATAAATGTCCGAATTTAACACACATGCTACTGGACTTTTCAACTGCCATGCAATTGCACGACTTCAGTGAGATGCAGGCATTTCCTACGAAATTAAAATACATGTGTATTTGTTTGTCGGAAGTTATTTTCATGGAAGGATTTATGCGGAAGATTTATAATTTTATCAATGGACTCGAGATTCTTCACTTAATCGGTTAGTAATCTGTTAGAATTTTATTTTTATATTATCTTATACACAATATTGTACACGCATTATAAATATGAATTCGTGGCCAATATATTTCCTATAAATTAGACTCGTAAAAATTAAATTCTACCGAGATTTACATAATTTATTAGAAAGCTTTATTGTTCACTAGGAACATACGAAAAAGTTGAGGAAGAAGAAGAGGAAATCTACGAGGTTATCAATGTACACAAATTGAAATCGGCAACTCCGAATTTACGAGTTATAAATTTGTACGGAATCAACTTTGTCGATGATTCGCACATCGACGCTTTTTCTTCCAACTGTATCCAACTAGAATGCTTAGCCGTGAATTTTTGTGCCAAAGTGACCGGTTCGACGATGAAGACTCTCTTTCAAAGGAGCAGAAGACTGATATGTCTTCTTATGCAAGGAACAAGTGAGAAATTATTTCTTTGCGATGATATGTGATTTTATTTCCACGCGTTGAAAATTTCTTTGACTAAAATTTTCAAAATATAAGTCACTTTGTGAATTTTTAATTTAAATTGCCTACTTTGATATATATCGCTGCAATTATGTTCGTGAACCTAGCATATCATTTTCCAGCAGATCAAAAATAAAAGAGAGTTCTTGTCGCATGCAGTCGAGTTCTATAGTTCCTTATAGTTTTTAGTAATAGTTCTGGTGTGATTTTTATACC